CTCCTCCTCTTCCTCCTCCTCCTCCTCCTCCTTTTCCTCTTCGTCCTCCTCCTCTTCCTCTTCTTCCTCTTCCTCTTCTTTCTTCTTCTTCCTCTTCTTCCTGTTCTTCTTCCTCTTCTTCTTCTGTACCGGAGAGATTGAACCCAGGGCTTTCACCATGACCTACATCCTCAGCCTTTTTTATTTTTTATTTATTTATTTTTTTTTTTTTGAGTTAGAGTCTACTTAAGTAGCTAAACTGCCCAGCCTGAGCTTCAACTTGCCCACTCTATGAGGCTGAACGACTAGGTCATGCTGCCTGGGGAGACGGGCGATGCTGGCAGGCTGGGTCCTCCCCATATCAGACGCAAAGAGTGTAGGAACATTTTCAGGACAAGGGAAGACTTTATGTATTTAGTACAGGGTCTACAGGGTCTCACTACACAGATTGGACCCGTAGGCATCCTGCTTTCAGCCTCCCAAGCGCTGAGATTACAGGCATGCACCACCATGCTCAGTCTCATTTGCCATCTCAGGGAGCCCCAGGGGCGGGACTGGCACAGCAGGCGGGGATTGAACCCCAGCCCCTGTGTCTGCCTAAGGAGGCACTTTAATCCACTGAGCTAATCTGGCCAGCCCCAAGTGAGGACTTTAGAACACTACTTGAGATAATCATGTGGTCCAGTGATAAAAGCCCAATGTGTGACCAGCCAGTGTGTGGCTGTGTAGGGTCTGCCCTTGTCCCCAAAGGCAGTCCACCTCTGTCTCCTGCTTCTATGGCTGTGCATTCAACCAACTGCTGACTGAAAATATGGCAGGGGTGGGAGCTGGAATGACAGCTGTAGCAAACACCGCAGAGGTGTTTTCTTGTAGTTCCTTATCCCTTTCTCCTGTGTTAGGTTTTATCAACAACTTAGAGACAGAAGGGAGAAAGCCAACTTGGCAAAATGTCAGGGATAGCGTAGGGCGGCCTTAGGCCAGGGTTCATTGAACTCTTTTTACAACTTCTCTGTAGTCTGCAGATTGTTCAAAATTAAGAGCCAGGAGGGAGTTCGTGTTACCAAGGAAAATAAGTGAGCAGAGCAGACTGAAGCCTGAAGCTTGAGGGTTCCTGAGAGGTCAGAGAGGTGTTGCTTCCAAGGACAGCCTGAGACTCTCTCCAAATGGGAGCGGGCCTTCAAGGATGCTCAAGAGGAAGATGAACCCCAAGATGTGTGCCTGCGGCAAAAGGCATCGATAAAATGAATTAAAACCCCAGGGTCCCATTGGATACAGACATCATGTGTTCTGAACACATGTGAAAATATCCGCCCAGAATTGGTGGGGTACAGTATGCCAGTGCACATTTACTGGCTTGGGATTCCCAGCAGCACTGCCAGTCTCTGTGGTGGTGTTGTCCTGCACAGTTGCATGGTTCTCTCTTTAGTAGCTGTGAATTCTCATCATTGTGAGCACCAAGATGATTCTGAGAACTAGGAAGAGAACCAACCCAGTCTGTGTGGGGAAGCAGCCAGTGCTGCGAACAGACAAGGGTCACCCGCAGTGCCACCTGGTCCTGGATTAGCTCCCCAGGTCCCTAGGGAACTGTGGGTCACAGTAACTAGGGTGGGTGGGGGGTGTTTGTGAAGCTGCCTGAGGATGACTGTCCTGTGAGCTCCAGTTCTACCTACCTCAGATTACTGCTGTGGAGCCCCCTCCTGGCAGAGATGAGTTTTACCCTTAGGGAGCACAGCACCTCCCCAAATGTCAAATCCCACTTGTGTGGGTTTTATGCCTTTTTTTTTTTCCTTTTCCAGTAAGGGTCTCAGGGTCTCACTATGTAGATCAGACTCGTAGTGGTCCACCTGGTACTTAAAATCATAACTACAGGGCCAGCCAGCCAGCTCAGTGGACTAAAGTGCCTGCTTACTTGGCGACCAGGATTCAACCCCCAGCATACTATGCCTGCCCTGCTCCTGGGGCACACTGAGACAGTGATTGAGACTGGGCATGGTGGTGCACATCCGTAATCCCAGAGCTTGGGAAGCTGAAAACAGGAGGATCACTACAAGTCCGATCTGTGTGGTGAGATCCTGTAGACCCTGTAATAAATACATTAAAAAAGAATAATTAAAAAATAAAGAACTTTAAATGTTCACTCCACTTTTCAATCACACATCATGTTCAGCTAGGGAATGCTTCTCTGTGACATGATCCATCTTTTCTTCTGTTTCAGGGAGAGTGGTGAACATCAGTAGTTTACAGGGCTCCAAAGCTCTTGAAGACTGCAGCGAAGCCCTGCAGGAACGCTTCCGGTGTGACACACTCACAGAGGGGGACTTGGTGGATCTCATGAAAAAATTTGTGGAGGATGCAAAAAATGAGGTGCATGGGAGGGAAGGCTGGCCCGACTCGGCTTATGGGGTGTCCAAGCTGGGGGTCACAGTGTTGTCGAGAATCATGGCCTGGCAGCTGAATGAGAAGAGAAAGGCTGACAGGATACTGCTGAATGCCTGCTGCCCAGGGTGGGTGAAGACAGACATGGCGGGGGACCAGGGCTCCAGGACCCTGGAGCAGGGGGCCGAGACCCCTGTGTACTTGGCCCTCCTGCCTCCAGATGCCACAGAACCCCACGGCCAGCTCGTCCGTGACAAAGTTGTGCAGAACTGGTGAACCTCTCTTTGGAGCTGCATTCTTTTCCACTAGCCTGTTTATGACACACGATCAGTGCACTCATCTCGGGGGATGGTACACTCACACCCTGCATCTGGGTCTCTACTTCGCCTTCGGGAGCTCAGGGCATAATGAGTGTTGGGGGGAGGAATAAATGAATTCTGATGCTAGAGTTGGACTCTCTTTCTGCTGTGGAGAAGGAATAAATGCCTATTAAACTCCCAGGAGAAGGCTGTTCAGTTCCAGGATCTGCAGCTGAATGGTTTTGCTGCAGCCCAACTCAGAGGTAAAAGTCTCCAAGGGAAAAGGACACACAGGTGTTTCAAATTTTAGAGGCTATTCTGATCCCCTGGGGGAGGGGGTTGCTGATTGAAAAAACTGCTGTCCTGTCATGATGGAGCACACCTGCAATCCCAGCCCTCTGGGAGGCTGAGGCAGGAGGATCAAATTTTAAGCCAGTGTGGATAACCTCGCAATTTAGTAAAGTCCTGTCTCAAAAAATTGCAAGTGGGCCAGGGCACCATGTTTAATCCCCTGGACTGAAGAATAGATTGCCGCTTCCCAAACCAGGGTTTCTGATCCAGTCAGTCTGGTAGGACCCCAAATTTGAATTCCTGACAAATTCCCAGTAAATGCTGATGCTGCCAGCTGAGACATGACAGTGCAGCGAGCGGTCACGGCGCTGTGAAGTCAGCTCCCAGCCGGCCGGAGCCATGCCTTTCTGTTTCCAGTTTGTTCATTCTGTAAAGATGATTTGTTTCATTTGCTTTGCTTTTTTTTTTTTAAAAGTTTTTTTTAATTTATGTGTGTGTGTGTGTGTGTGTGTGTGTGGCCAGCTCAGCCCACCAGGGGGCGGGGCTGGCTGGCATGTGGTGCTGGGGGATTGAACCGCGGTCCCTGTGCTTTTTTGCTAAGCTTGTTCTAAGTAGGTGCTTTAGACCACTGAGCCATCTCACCAGCCCTTGCTTTGCTTTTTGAGATAGAGTCTTACTTTGTGATTCAGGCTGGTTTCTAACTCATGGCAATTCTCCTGCCTCAGCCTTCCAAGTGCTGATCTTAATTGTATTTTTGTTTCTGTCGAAGGACAGAGAATTACACCATTAAAAATCTTACTAGGCTTTTATAGGTAATTCTGGGATGAGGTAACACTATATTCGATCAGACAGCACAAACGTTCTGAGGAACTGAGCACAGGAGGCTGGTTGTTTAAATGGAAAAGGCTGAGGAAAGTAGAAACAGACAAAAGCAGATCAGTTATTTCAAAGTTAGTTTAGTGGATGGCCAGCTAATTCTGGGTGATTAGAGGTTTGGCTATTACCTCTCTCCTGATTTCTGGGTTGGTCAAACAATTGAGTTTGCTTTGGCAATATGGTTCTTTAGCATGAGTGATGCCATTTTGGTTCGGCCCATCAGGCCCAGTACAGTTCATCTAACCCCTGGAGCCTGAAGGGTTCAGGAGAGGTGGTTTTGTTTCAGTTGTTGTTGCTGTCGTTACATGATTTCCTCAGTATTGGGTTTTTAGTGGCTTTTTGGTTTCCCCAGTTCTGCCCAACACATTTGTCACACCTTTCGTCTGCCAGTGTCATGGCAACACTGGCCATCTGGCTCCTGCCACCTGCATGGATGTCTGGACCTGTTCACACCCCCTCTGAGCTCAGCCCAGCATGATTCTTCACATCACCCCTGAGCACCTTTGGGTCTCTATGACAACAGGCACATCTTCATACACGGCTTTCAAAGGGGACTGCTTTATTTTTTTAAACTCTTTTGTTAATTTATTTGGTGCACAATGCAAGCTCACTATGCAGCTCAAACTTGTAGTGATTCTCCTGTCTCAGCCTCGCTCGCTCTGGGATTGTAGGTGTGTGCCACCATGCTCAGTTTCAGTAGCTGGCACAGTGCGCCCAGGGTTCCAGGGCCAGCACAGCATGTGGTACCAGGGACCAAACCTGGGTCCTTGTGCTTACCTGGCAGGCAGTAAGACAGCTGGGTTATCTCCTCAGTCCCAAAAGGGACTGCTTTTGTGACCAGGCCTCTTGCGTTCCAGTTATACCCTGTAGAAAAAGACTTGGAGACAAAAGGATTGTTTTCATGTTATTTTTAGTTTTTTTATTTTTATTTTTTTGACCAGCTCAGCTCACCCTGGGGGTGGGGCTGGCACAGCATGTGGTGCCAGGGATGGAACTGTGGTCTCTGAGCACTTGCCTAAGCAGGTCTTTAGACAACTGAGCTGTCTTGCCAGCCCTGTTTTTAGTTTTTATTAGTCCATGTCTGTAGTACATAATGATTGTATTCATCATGAAGAGTTGGTTCATGTACATAGCACATACAAGTTCTTCTCATGTCTCCTCCCCCATTTAAAAATTTTTTTATTTATTTATTTTTAGGTAGCACAAGGGATTGAACTTAGGGCCTTGTGTTTGCCAGGCAAGCACTTATTCCACTGAGCTATCTCCTCAGCCCCTTCCCTCATCTCTTGATTCCCTTCCCTATTGCAAAGATCTATCTTGCTGCTTCCTATTATCTATCATTTTGCTCTTTTATTTATTTAAACTTCAGGTTTCTCATATAAGAGAAACCATGTGACAATCTTGTGATTTATTTCACTTAACACGATGGCCTCAAGGCACCTCCATTTTCCTACAAATGACTCAAGCTTATCCTTCTTCATGACATAATACTCCAAGGTGTGTAAAAACCACATTTTCTTTATCCATTCATTAATTGGTGGACTTCTAGGCCACTTCCGTGATGTAGCTATACAGAGGATGTTATGAAAGAGAAGAAATGTCCTTGCACAGCCTTGTGAGGGAGTTGGGACTTTAGAAAGCACATGGCTTATCAAACCGGACCACAGAAAGACAACAGGTATGGGCTGGGGAGATGGCTCAGTGGATAAGTGCTTAACTCCCCGGTTCTGAAAAGAAAGAAAGAAAGAAAGAAAGAAAGAAAGAAAGAAAGAAAGAAAGAAAGAAAGAAAGAAAGAAAGAAAAGGAGAGGAAAAGAAAGACAACAGGTGCACAATGGGAAGAATGCAAAGGAAGAAAAACTGCACATCTACTGAGTTTATCACGGCTGCTTATGGCATGAACTGAGCACCAACAGTGCATTGAGGAGCACAAGTGCAGTTGCCTATCTCCTGACATCTTCTTTCGGACATAAAAAATATTGCATGTCCCTTCCTAAGGGTAGAGATGCTCAGGGCTTTGTTTCTGTCAGGACCAGGACTAAGCTGGCAATGCTGTTACTTCTGGTATCTCCCAGGAAGCAGCTCTTTATTTCTCCAGATTCCACAGCACCTCACAGGTCAGCTTGCCTATCACCCCTCACTTCACCTTCCTTCCACTTGAGATGAGGAGAAGGCGGAACCCCCAGACGGCCTTCCTTCCAGCCCCTCACCAACTCTTTTCTGCACTATTGGGAGTTGAGCCCAGGGCTTTCGCTCTGAGCTAAATCCCTAGCCCTTTTTGTTGTTTACTTCGAGATAGGGTCTTGCTAAATCACGAAATTGCTTAGGCTGGGCTCCAACTGTGATCCTCCTACCTAAGCCTGCCAGAGCACTAGCATTGCCGGTGTGTGCCATCAGGCCTGACTTCAGCCTATTCTTGTGTCACTGATCCAACCCATCCCCTATTCAGCTTGGGCCACAGCTCCTATGACATTGTAATGGCTTCAGGATGTTTTTGCACTGCCATACTCTGGTCTGCCTTGAAGCCAGTCTCCCAAGTCCTGCTGATGGCATGAACTGAATGGGGAACTGGAGAGGGCTGCAGCTCTACTCACGTCACAGATAGGAAGTCACACATACACAGGATGTCCCTGGCCACCCTTTTATTTCTACTTCCTCTTTGTCTCTTTCCAACCAATCTCCCCTTGACACTTCTTTTTTTTAAATCTCTTATTTACTTGGTACAGGGTCTTGCTATGCAGCTCAGACTAGTAGTGATTCTCCTGTCTCAGCCTCCCTTACACTGGGATTACAGGCATGTGCCACCACTCCCAGTTTTGGTGGCCCACATGGCACACCTGGGGTTCCAGGGCCAGCACAGCATGTGGTACCAGGGATTGAACCCAGGTCCTTGTGCTTGCCAGGCAGGCACTTTGACCACCCAGCTATTTCCCCAGACCCCCCTGACACTTTTGGATCATCATGTAACCCACTTAGAAGGCCCATAAAGAAAGGAACGGCTGGACTGGATCAGAGCCAGTACTGGGTGTGATCAGTGCCAACTACTGTAATCTAAGGAACAGAAGGAACCAGGCTGATACAGGGACGTGAAATTCCCAACCTGGCCTGAATGAGTTCGTGTTCTCTAAAATGGAAGAATGAATTTTAGGAACAAACGGAGGCTGAAGGTAAAACTTTATTGGAAAGGAAAGCTTCTGTCGGAGAGGGACAGAAGGGGGTCCCAAGCGGGTTGCCCAGGAAGCTGTCTCCTTCAGGTTATTTTTATAGGACAAAACCATGCGGGGCTAAGGTAGAGACAAAGGGGTCCCGCTTAGGCAGATACAGGGTGGGACCAAACTATGGTCAACCAATGGGATTACAAGCACCATTGCTCAGGTAAAATTTATTAGGTCTAGGACCAAATGGGGTAGTGAGTCACGTAGCAAGCGGGCGACCTTATCTGGTGGTCTTCAGTCAATGATTCTTCCTGACAAATGAGCAATCCTGGATGCCAACTTTAGGGAGGTCAGCATTTGTTTGATCTTTAGGTCTGGCTCACACCAGGAGCATCTCCCCAGTAAGGTGTCTGGTCTTTGTCATCCCCTTCGAGGGCCTGTCCCTGTCTAACTACCTACAATATTTCTATCTAACTCAGGCTGCCTGCAACAAGGCCACAGCCACCAAAGGAGGTCAACCAAACGGAAGCTCCTCCCCACGCTGGATTCTTTCCATGGTTTTCAGATCCCTCCAGAAGTACACTGTGTCCTTCAAATTGTCCTTTTCCTTCCTAGTTTGATACTAAGATTTCAATCTAGAATGTGTCCCCAAAGCCACAAGTGTTTACAGTGGTGCTGTCCTTATCTGTGGATTAATAGATTGATGGATTAGTAGCTGATTAATTAGTAGCTGTTAGAAGGCACAGTCTGATGGGAAGAGGTGGGTCGGGGTGTGGCTAGCCCCAGGGGTGTGGCCTGGAAGGATATACTGTACTGTGTACTTCTCTCCCTGGCCCTCCGATCTCTCTCTGCTCCCTGACTGCTATGGGTGAGCAGTTTTCCTCCATCCAACCCTTCTACCATGCTGTTTCTGGCTTGGTGCCAGCTGACCATGGACAGGAGGCTTTAAAAACTGGGCCAAAATAAAGCCCTCCTCCTGAAACTGAACATCTGTTGACCATTTTGTCCCAACAACAGGAAAGTAAGACAAATTGGGTGGTTGATGTCCATAACCAATAGAACTCATTAAAATGCTTCATAGTACATTGTTGTTATGGCTTCTGTATAGGTGTCCCCCCAAAGCCCGAGGCAGTCATGGGGCAGCCTCTGGAGTCTGTGACTGATTACTGTGAGTGTGGATGCTGCACCTGCCCTGGGGCAGGGAATTTGCATTTTAATGTAAGGAGGGAAGAGAGGCTAGCTGCTTGAGCTGCTGCTACCCTTCCCTTGCACTCTTGCTCTTTGACTCCACCATGAAAGGTTCTCTGCCTTGTGCTGCTCTGCCTTGGAGACACCTGAATATGGACTGAATCCTCCAGTAACTGTGAGCTAAATAAACCTTTCCTTCCTTCATTTTGGGTATTGGGTATTTGTCCCAGCAATGAGAGAAGAGTAACTAAGACAATTGTACAAAATAATATAATAATAGGTATTGCTTGGAATAAAAATGAAAACAAAATCATGAATTGAGAACTGATGGCCTCCTGGGATATATGTCATGCTTTCCAACATGGTTTTACCTAATTCTCACAACAGTCCTTTGAGGTTTGTATTACTATCATTTTTCAGATGAAGAAATAAAAGCTCAGAGAGTTTAATTAACTTGTTAAGGATCACACACCTAAGAGATAAGAGTTGGCACCACATCCAGAACTCAGTGTTAGGTGCCTGCTTCTGGGTACATTTGCCTTCTGCTATGACTTTGAAGACCACGGGTAAGTCTTGGCATAAAAATCAATAGAGGGGGCCTGCCCCATAGCTTAGTTCTTTGGGGGGGGGGCCTGCCCCTTAGCTCAGTTCTTTAAGTGGCTGCTTCAACAAAGCAGTCAGGCTCAGGTTGCTGTGGTTCGATCCTCACAACTCAAGCCAGCCAGACCTGCCCTGAAGGCATTCGGAGCAAATAAATAAATAAATAAAATTAATAGAAAAAAATTAATAGAAGTGATTGTAATAGAAGTGATAGCTAACTGGTGTCAACTTCTTACACCCGCTGAACTGAACTAGCATGGTGCCAGGTGTGGGAGACCCACCTGAGGGTTGTTGCCAGCAGTTTAAAGGCAGAACAGGAGAAGCTGTCAGTATGCTTCTAGGGATGCTGTTTGGAGAGGCTGTTGGAAGCTGCTAGGTCTCTTGAGCTATTCTGCTGGAGGACCTTATTATGCTGGCTTTCCTAATGAACTTTGGGGGAGCTCTGGTCCTCATCTTGAGCATCACTTTTTGCCTCCAGAGGGGAAGATAGTGCACAGCTCAGTCTCCTGGAGAAGCTTGCCACATTGGCTTTCTTGGTGGGAACTCAGCTTTCCTCATCTCTGGAGGAGCTGGGGACCTCAGTGTTGCTGGGGATGGCTGTGGTACTTTTCAGGGAAGCTCTGGTACTTAGCTTGAGCGTTGCTTCCTGGCTCCAGTTCAGATCCCTCAGCCCGCTGGCACAGAGCCTTCATCCCACTGGCATAGACTTTCTAGCTCCTACCACTGACCTATGGGCCTTTCCAGCACTGATAAGTGAAGCGGGCCTGCATGAGATTTTGTCATGGGCTCTAGGCCTCCAGCTCGACTTATGGGAGGCATTATCATGAGCTCAGGTTTTCAGCTGGACTCATACAGGATTTTAGGATCTAGGCTCTCACCTGGATTCTTGAGTGTTTAGTGTGTGGATAGATTTCCTGCACTTCTTGTATATGATTCTTGGGTGATTCTTTATAATACAGGACACATTTTATATTATTTTATATTGTTCACCTTGCAAAAGCTCAAAGTCATGACAATGATACATTTTTTAAAAAATTTATTGTATTTATTTATTTATTTTGTGTGTGTGTGGCCCGCTCAGCCCACCAGAGGGTGGGGTTGGCTGGCATGTGGTGCTGGGGGATTGAACCGCGGTCCCTGTGCTTTGCTTGGCTTAGTTTGTTCTAAGTAGGTGCTTTAGACCACTGAGCCATCTCACCAGCCCGATACATTTTTTTTTAAAGTACTTTTATTTATGTGTGTGTGTGTTTGTGTGTGGCCAGCTCAGCCCACCAGGGGGCAGGGCTGACTGGCATATGGTGCTGGGGGATTGAACCGCAGTCCCTGTGCTTTGCTAAACTTGTTCTGAGTAGGTGCTCTAAAGCACTGAGCCATCTCACCAGCCCGACAATAATACATTTAATCTAAGTGATTTTTTTTTTCAAAACCAGGGATTGAACTCAGGCCCTTGCACTTGCCAGGGAAGCACTTATTCCACTGAGCCATCTCCCCACCATACTCTAAGTGATTTGTAAGCTACCTGGTCATTAGATCCCCAGCAAAGTATAACTTGCTTCGTTTTCCTTTTCTTGATGGTGATTGAATTGAAGGGCTGAACTATACTCCAGCTCTCTTTTAATTTGAGACAGGTTCTCATTAATCTGCTAAATTGCCTAGCTGGCTTCCAATTTGCAATTCTCCTGCTTCAGCCTCCCAAGTATCAGGGATTACAGGTATAATCCACTATGCTGGCTTCAAGTATGGCTTAAATGCAACATATCATTGCAACATATCATTAAACAATCATTGTGTAGGGTATATATTTTTAGGTGTCAGATGGTACCAGCAGTTCCTTTTGCATCAGCTTTTCTGTGACATGTTTTTCTGGGTTGATGCTTGTGTGGTAAACATAGTAGACTTGGGCATAATGATAACTTTATTGTCAAGAGGAGAAAAGAAAATTGGGATTTATATTAAATTTGAAATGCCCTAATTAGTTTAATTATTGTGTAAGGAACCTGTTCCCCTTATGGGTCTTTAACATATGAACATTGATAGCTAAGTAGGCTTATCTTTTTTTCTTAGTGCTGAAGATTTAACTAGATAAGCACTTCACCCCTGAGCTCCACCCTCAGCCCTTTTCATTATGAGAGGGATCTTGCTAAACTGTTCAGGCTGGATTCAGATTTGTGATCCTCGTTCACCGGCCTTGTGGAGTGCTGGGATTATGAACATACATTAAGTGGTTCTTCTGTCTCTGTTAGTTCAGAGCAGCATGAGCGGTTGAGACTTGAGAACTTCAACAGTCACTTATTTGCAAAATTTTTCCAATTCTTTTCTGCCAGCTACGTAAAAAGTTTATCATCTCTTTATTAGGAAAACTATTCTCGTGAAATAAACTTTTCCCCCTGCTACAAGTGGCTCAATCCTTTCCTTTTCCTCTGATTCTATTTTAAGACCTTTCCTGACCTGATTGTTAGAAAGATTTACATCTGGGGCATGTGGGCATGCAGACTGGAAACGGAATCCAAGTCAGCAGCCTGACAAGGATAGGGGGCCAGCGTCGCCAACAATTGAATGATTCATGAAATTTTGGTAGAGGTGATCAGCCCACGTTTGAATATGATAGAAACTACACACCCTTTCCCAGACACACACATACACACACACACACACAACCATTTCCAAACGTTCTTCCTCCCCGCAAAGCACATTCATCCACGGTCTAACCTCGGAGACGCACAGATAAGACCTAAAAATTCCCCAGGGAGACTCGGGGCTTGAAAGAGGACCCATCAGAAGAGAAGTCCCGACTTTATCCCAAAGGTGGCGCTGTCTGGCAGCGCGGGTGGGGCAGCCAGGGAAGGGCCGAAGCGTTGGGCGTTTGTAGCCCCGCCTGCAGCTGTCACGCCGCGCTCGGTGGGTCAGGAAGAGCCGAGGACTGGCCTGAAAACACTAATACTCCCCTGAGTTGACATTACGTCCTCGGTCCTGTCTCCGTACCTGCATAAGGAGCTCATTCCAGGGAAGACTGACGTCACCTACCCTTCAGGCAAAGCTAAGGAGCTAAGGCGTGCGGGGACATGGGCGCCTTAACGAGGGTCCCCAGCCTCCTGCGCCCCGAACCTGGTTTTGTCTTCCTCATCTTGAGGGCACAGGGTTTGGGCGCGGCCCAGATGAAAAGATGCGGTCAGCCAGGTTCTGTGCACCTCTCTTGGGCCTTACGGTTCTCCTGGTCGGTAACTCCTCCGATGACTTAAGGAAGGTGGACGGCTCAGAGTGGCACGAGACGCTATCCCTCTCGGCACCTACAACTTCGCGCCCACCCGGGGTTGCTCTGCCGCCGGGCGACGCCCACTTCCCGGATTCGGAGTCACGCTGGGCCAAGAGAAGCGCCGTGAGGGCCCGCCCAGCCTCGCGCCGAGGCCCCGCCCACAGATCGTCCACGAGCTGAGGCCCCGCCTTCAGCCCCACCCCCCGAGCCTCTAAAGTCAGCCGCGGCCACGCCCACTCCCAGACACCAGGAGACGAAGCCCCGCCTCTCCTTAGGCCCCACTTGGGAAGCCGCGGCCCCTCGGGCTCGGGCGCGGCGCTTCCTTCGCGGTCGCGGCTTGCCACTGCTCTACAGCCCCTCAGGCTCGCTCCCGGTCAGCCCTCAGCCTCCGTCGCTCCCGAGCCGCACGCGAGCGCGCCCGCCACTAAGGCTGCCGGTAGGGCTGCCGCCGCGGTAAGTCGCCCCCTTCCCCGGGCCCGCGGGCGGTGTCGGCTCCCTGGGCGCGTGGCTGCAAGGCGCGCCGGCCCTGCCGAGGACGCGCGCGGGCGTGGGGCTTGGGCCTCAAGCTCCCTGGGGCCGGATGGGGGACGCGCGGCCTCGGCCCGGCAGGTGCAGGAGGCCGGGTCTCCCCTCCACCGACCCCGTGGTGCCCTCGTCTGCCTTTGTCCGCCGGCGCAGTCCTCACCGGGAGGCGGCTCGGGCGCGACCTTTGGGAGCCCAAGGCTTTCTGAGGACGAGGACCCCGCGCCCCCGACCGTCCCGGAGCCGCAGTGCGCGCGCCCCGCCGGCCTGGCCCTGCGTCTTGTCGTGTCCTGTCCTGACCTGTCTTGTCCTGCGGGTCTCTCTGGTTCCCCGCAAGCCAGGGCTGACCTTACTTGGGTACAGCCACTCCACACCCAGGGACACTTTCGCAGGCTCTCAATGGGGTGGGGTCGGTCAGGTGTTGGGAATACCCTCGCCCTCGAAACGTGCTTTTAACTGGGAGCCTTAATTTTTTTCTAGTGTAATTTATTAGCTACTCTGTAAAACCAAATTCAGAATATTGTCCTGCAGTTTCCATCAGTGCCCTGGTGGTGCGCGTTTGTGTGCTGTGGCCCAGGAACCCTACCTGTGGTGGGCCGATGTTCTTGCTCAGGGAGGGTAGCTCTTTGTGGTGTGCTATCTCCCTTCGTGTTCACCTAACTCCTTCCTTCGTGGGAGCATATTTTCAGTGAGCTGCTTTGGGATCTGGCAGATGACTTTTTTAGGAAATGAAGAATGGTCTCAGGGGAGGGGTTTGCTGTCGACTCCAGGTGAACGTATCTGGTGGGTTAGTATTGTGTAAATGCTTGCCCCTTTGTGTGGAAATGTCTGTAGAACTCAGTTTACAGTGAAGCCTCATAAGCTGTCCAGGACAGAGGCAGGAGCACTGGGGAAAGAGGACAGAAGGGCTCAGCTACTCCTTTTCCCCCAAACATAAGGTAGCATCTCAGCAACCTGAGCCCCAGTCTGGGTTCTGTCTGATGCTGGTGGGGGAACCCAGGCAATTTTCTTTATGGCATAATTCTGAATATCCTCTCCTGGGACTCCTGCTTGTTGCCTGAGATAAATGTGTATATGAAGGAGCTTCGTACCAAGCCACTAACAAGACTGGCATAACCTGGTGATACCAGATACTTAATATTTTGTCTGAATGGCTGTTTTCAAATCCTCACCTATGCTTTTTTTTTTTTTTTTAAATTAAAACAAAATTCAAGAAAGGTCTCTCAAGTTCAGACTGGCCTTGAACTCACAAGGTAGCCCAGGTTGGCATTGGACTCCCATGATCCTCCTGCATCAGCCTCAGTGCTGGGATCACAAGTGTGCACCACCATACCCAGCTTTCCCTTTGCCATTGCACCCAGCAGTACTCTGTTCCTGTGGCCATGCATGACGTTGAACTGCTGAGGCTCCTACTCTTCCCCGGCTGACGCTGGCCCTGCCAGCGGGACGTCCGCTGCCCCACCCCCTAAACACACACCTTATCTTTACCAAGCTCTTCCTGGTAACACCAGCCACCCACACCTGGGACTCGGAGGAGTCCTCTGCCAGGTGTTGTGCTTCCTCAATCTGTCTTTCTTGCTTATGTCAGTCTGTAACTTCATCCCACCCCTGCCCCCATCTGTGCCTCAGTAACTGGAGATTATGCATTTAGATCTTTTCCTCTTTGTCAGGCTGTGGAGCTGGAGCCCTGTAGCGTTCAAGTCTCTCCAGTGCTTAGCTGCTTAGAGTAAACAGTGTGTGGGGCATTGGGGTGCTGCAGTTGTTAGGCTAGATTTGGGGCCTGGACATTTCTTGGGGTGAGGGGGACATGGAACAGCTATGAACTATTTGGATATACCAACTTTTTCTTAGGTTTGTTTTGTTTCATTTTTGTGACACTGAGAATTGAACCCAGGGCCTTCACACCAAGTCCTACTTTCCCCTCATTTACTTTTTTGCGAAAGGGTCTTGCAGAATTGCCCAGGTTGGGCTTGAATTTGGGATCCTCCTGCCTCAATCTCCTAAAGTGCTAGCACTATAGGTGTGTACCACCACATCCAGCCTTTTGTTTTCGTTAATGCTTTTTTTTTTTTTTTTTGGTGGAACAGGGGATTGAACTCAAGCCCTTGTGCTTGCCAGGGAAGCACTTATTCCACTGAGCCATCACTCAAGCCCCAAATGCTTTATTTTTTTCCCCCACCTGATTTTCAGATAGAATATTTCCAATTTCCTAGGCTAACTGAAGAGCATTGACCTGCCAAGGAGAACGTTCAGACCAAGATGTTGTCCTTAGGTTTTTTAAATGCCCTTTTGTGGGTAGTCTGGGAAGGATTTGTATCTCTCGTTCAGTTATTGTTGCTTCACTTTCAGATACTTCCACCACTGTGAGAATGTAAGATGGACCCAGAAGAGCAAGAGCTGCTAAATGACTATAGATACAGAAGTTACTCTTCAGGGATTGAAAAGGCTTTACGAAATTTTGAGTCCTCCAGCGAATGGGCAGATCTCATATCTTCACTAGGCAAGCTCAACAAGGTACGCAGGGTGTATGCTCTTTGGAACTGGAGACATAGTTTTCTTATCATTGCAAGGAATTTGTGGTGATTTTTTAACAATAGAAAGTACAGGCTGGGTATGTTGGAAAATGGACCTGTAATCTGAGCACCTAGGAAGCTGAGGCAGGAAGCTCTCCATAAGTTTGAGGCCAGTCTGGAGTATACAGTGAGACTGTCTCAGAGAGAGAGAAAGAGAGAGAGAGAGAGAGACAGACAGACAGACAGACAGACAGAATGAGACTGAATTGATTGATTATATAGAAAAGAAGAACTCATAATCTGGCCCCTAGAGTATCCTTATTGCCTTAAGTAGTATACATACCTCCTTCTACCTCTTTCATAGCCTAGAATTATACAGTGTTGGAATAAGTTGAAGGATCTTTATCTCAACAATACATGTGTCTACACGAGATAAAATTTAAAATTATAAGCTTAGCTGTTCAAAGATTGTACATTATGTACATATTAGGGTCTTTATTGCTTTTTTTTTTTTTTTTTTTTTTTTTTTTGTTATATAGTTTCTGCTGCTGTTCCTAATAAATAAATATTGAATCCT